AGAGCATGGAGAATCGATCTGATCAAGATCGAAGAAAAGAATATTGTATTGAATGAACAAATGCCTATACTTTAAAAGGTAAAAAGTGGCCATTCCGTAATCATATTCCCCAGAAATCCAATTGCTATAGATTTGGTTATAGTCAAAGAGAAAATATTTCTTGAGAAGATTTGCAAATATTTCTCTATGATCTTGGTACAGATGTTGTATAAAATGTTTCTTCCCATTAAAAATGCTTGGATAACTCCAATCGCAAAACTCACAATGAATTCCGGAAGGTGATAAAATACAATGTTCGAATAATGACATCTTAAGCAACTGAATAGATTAATTATGGTTGGCGCAGCGAAATTAATCCTGGGCATTGTGGAATTAATCCTGGGCGTTGTGGAATTAATTCTGGGTGTCGTGGAATTTGTAGTTACCACAGTAGTTTTATAAAAAAGCAAATTACACAGTTAAAAATCCATTCGGTCAACGTAGACAAAATGGTAAATATAATAATAATAAAAATAAAATTACTCGCTATCTAAGTGATTCAATTATCAGATACACTGTCACTATCTATCTTTTTTTTCTTTTCAATATTTTCACTATTTTCCTCCATGACAATTTTTTTTTTTCTCTTAGTGCTTATGGTCCTAGCATGGGAACGAAACTTCATATTGATAGCCTCAGCAATCTCCTTACGCTTCTCAAAGAGAGATGGTGTAAAGTTGGTTAGCTTGGCAAACTCGGCAACATCATAAGGTTGCCAGTCACCGTTATTCATAGGCTTGACACGCTTAGGAATCTGATCACTGATAAAGGAAAAATAAATAGCGCAATTGTAAAGACACTCCTTCCCGTCAGAGAACTCGCGAAAACCCGAAACCTTGATAATATAAAAAAGTTCATCAATAACGACCCCGGCCTCCTCTTCGGCTTCACATTTTGCGCAATCAACAAATAATTCACCTAATTCCACACGCCCTCCAGTTACTTGCCACAAAAGATGATGATCTTTAAGAGGATTGATACATTGAGATAGCCAAATATTCTTTGAATCGGAAACCAATATAGTAAGACTGAAATTACGCTCGCTGGCTTTATACATATCAAGCTTTTGATGATTTTTATTCTTCAAATTCTTAGTTACATTTAGTACTGAAATAACCTCTAGAGTAGGTTGATCTACGGTAATTCCATCATTTTTCATAGAATTGAGAATATTGAGATAAGTAGTATACTTCTTGATCAAATTTGTATTATTTTCGTGATCTTTTTGTGCTTGAAGATACTGATTCATGATGATAAAGAATGAATCAAATAATTTCTAACCGGTTTATCAAACTGATTAGAAATT